GAATGATTTTCATTTCAAAACTGACGCCATTACCAGAAAAAAATTACATGGATGCAATTTGTCAGTGCTAATCGTGAATTAAGTAGTAATATTCTTTTAATTCACGATAACTGATTAGTATGCATAACTAATATTCATGATATAACAATGCTACAAACAATGTAAAGGTAATAACATTGTTACTACCATTATGGTCATTATTATAATATCAATAATGATGATCTTGACATAAAAACGACGATCATAATGATAGTAATAATGAGAAACATCCACTAACCAAATCCAAAACGAAAAATTAAAAGAAAAGAAAAAAGTGAAAAAAACTAACGAATAAACACCGTGTAATTTTCCCATTAATTAATCCGTACTCATTTCTCTCTTCTGTTGATTGATTGGCTATCCGTGAGAGAGTCCGGTCTGATATCACATCAATATGAAATTGCACGAGTTAAGGAAGAAATGTGGGAATAATCACTTAAAAGAAAAAAAACAAAGTAGAGCATAGGCCGGTATCATAATAATAATAATGAATGAAGATTACACAATATTCAGTTTGGTGTTTGATAATTATTGAAAGTACGTGATTATAACGATAACAATGATGATAACATCAACAATAATAACAATAATGATAATAATAATACCAATAGTAATAGTTATAAGACCATAAATGGTAAACATTAAAACAAAAATAACAACAGTAAAGATAATAGATCATTAATGATGACGGCAATGATGATAATTATAAATAATAACTGATAATGATAACGATGATAAAGAATAATGGCACTAAGACGATAATCATAATCATCATCATCATCGTTATCGTTATCATCATCATCACAATAATAATTGATAAACATAAATAAATATATAAAATAGTATTTCGAAATGGTGGCATTAACTGTCAATTATCTTACTCGAAGGTTCAGAAAGTGATTATTGTATAAAAAAAAACTCGAAATAAGAACAATATCGTTAATCATCACGAAAAGTCATTAATCTTTAAGTTTCGTCGAATTCTGAGAAGTCGACAACATAGATCCCTGATTGATAATACAAATTAATCGTATATATATATATATATATATTATATATATATATATATTATATATATATATATATATATATTATATATATATATAGATAGATAGATAGATAGATAGATAGATAGATAGATAGATAGATAAGATAGATATATAGATATGATATATATATATATATATTATATATATATATATATATATATATATATATATATATATATATATATATATATATTATATAGTATATATATATATATATATATATATATATATATATATATATATATATATATATATATATATAATATATATATATATATGTGTATATATATGTATATATATATATATATATAATATAATATGTATATATAATACATAATATATATATATATATATACATATATATATTATATATATATATATATATATATATATATATATATATAATATATATATATATATATATATATATATATATATATATATATATATATATATATATATATATATATATATATATATATATATATATAGGTGTAATCATTGTATTTTTTTTTGAAAAGGAGATTAAAAAAAAAAAAAAAAATGACAACGATCTTCAAAATTCTTCTAAAAGACGAAATGATGAAAATAATTAATGTCTACATTCCAGCGAGACATTAACTACCACTCGATTATTTACATTTTCCAAATCCAATCTCATAAACTCGAAAATATCAAATAAATCTATAAAGTCTCAAATATTACCGATAGAATTCAGAATCAATTTTTCTCTGAACTCGAAAAGCGAATAAAAAAAATCCCAAATGACAATAACAACCGCCAACAACATAATTCGTCGCCCAAATATCTCTTACTTGATAATTCACGATATCTAGAAAGTCCCAGTTAATAATAACATTTATTAAAATAGATTATATACAACATCTCTGGGTAGAATCCCTCCGAAGATTCCTTTATCTTCAGAATCCTTACGGAGTTAGCGAGGGATGCAAGCGAGTCGAAATCGCGTGCTGGGCCTCCCTCTCTCCGCTGCACATGGCGAGCGCACTTTTCAACTTACCGTAACTTTCCGCCCGTTGGAAGCTCGTTAATCCGACGACGAGGAGTAAATGCAACGCTGGGGGCATCATCTTGATCGAGGAGGTTGCCTAGAACATGCCAAATCCTGTGTTTGTGTGACCTCTCTCACTCTGTATCTCTCTCCCGCGCTCACTTCCCTTATAACACGCTCCTACCACAAACAAAATCAATATTTATCCTGCTTGGATTTTCGTTGAAACACACTAAACAATTTTTCCACGATCACATGGTTTAGCACAAAACACTTCCTCACACAAGTAATCACTTTTTCAACACTATTATTGCAACGGTACACCTATAAGCGACGAAAGGGGGGTTACAGCGTTCTCTCTCTCTAACACCCCGAGAGCCGAGCCGATGTACGTCCTGCC